TTCTTCTTNTATATATATATATATATATATATATATATATATTATAATTACTTACTTTCAAAAAATCGAATATGTTCTTAGTACAAGCATGTGCGGTGTGAACATAACTGTTATATCATTGTCCATTAATATCGTGATAAATGTGTGCAAATGCACGTAAACACATAGAAAAATATGTAAAACATTTGTACGCCAACACAAATTAAAAATCATAAGATGCAAATCATAGTGAATATGAGGAATTTGTATTGTAACAAAAAGAACTAACGTTTATTAAATTAAATCAATATATGTATAAAAAGAATGTCTTACTTTTAAAAATTATCTAATCTACATAAATGTCACATTTGTTTACAATATTATGAGTAAAAAAAATCACAAATTCAATTTATCAATACGAAACACGCAAGTATCGTCTTTTAAGGATTTACTAGTGTGTTCTTCTTGTTCACCCTCTCCGTTCTCGCCGAGTAAATTTAATTCATCGATATTCGTTACAAACATGGTGTTATCATTTGATATAACGGGTGCAAGAGTTCGATTATTTGATATTTCTGTAGTTTCTAGAAGATTTTCTAAAATATGAATAAATGAAATCAATATATGAAATCATATTCAAATTAAGCAAACAATTGAAAAGCAAATCTAACTGACCAGTTTCTTGTCCATCTTTTACACTGTTTACATCTTCTTCCAATGTTTCGAGTTTTGCTAATTTCACAGAATCCAAAAATTTTCTGTCAGATACCGAAGAAGCACACTTTACACGTTCCGTTGCATGAATTATTTTTACGAGTTTAGGTAATTCTTTTGGTAAAGAAAGTCTTTTTAAATGCTTTGTTTCTTCAGGAATGTCATCCGATTTACAATATGGTAATTGTACAATATAGCAACGCTTTTCAATTTGAAATTTTCTTTCTCTGACCAATCTCAGAAGATAATTACTAGTATTTTCATACATAGTCGATAGAGCAGGTTTTTTAGATGGTGGAGAAGTTGCAACAATAACGAACTCTGTGTTTCGAAACGCAGCATCGCACCAACATTCTGGATCCTATATTATAAGCATAATAAATCGTGAAATAAACTTTTTTACGGAAGTAGTATTTCATTTTGGAATAGATTATTGCTACTAACTTTGTCCGTAGTATCCGTAATGTCCAGCACATCTATCATGGCATTAATGTCACAAACTCTTAAATATTTTGCCAATTCAACCATTACGTTAACATGCGATAACCGAGTCGGTGAATATACCAATAAACATTTGGGTTTTTCTCTTTTTCTCAATATTTCTATAAAAATCCAAATAAATATGTAATTTAATTATTCTAACAATATTTATATAAAAATTTTAAACATATTGTAATTTTACCTCTTCTATATAATCTGTAAAGATGATAAAGTACACAAAATGATAATGCTGGTATCCACACAGCACTGATAATCATGATCAAAAGACGGGGTGAAGATGTTGCTAGAAAATATAAAAACATTATCATAATGCTTAACAATATTGTTGTTCTTTAATTCAAAAATCAAAATTTTGTTACATTATATTATTTTTCATAGATGTTTATTTGCTTACGTATAATAATAAAAGGCGTAGTACTATTTATGCATCCATAATCGCCACATTCCGGATGCATGCAAGCAACTTTAAAATAAAAGTGACCAATATGCGCAGTAAAATTATATTGTAAATCTTGTTTTCTTGTTATATTAAATGTTTTTATAAAATCTGTATCATTGTTTATTAACCAAATTTTATATCCAGTTATATTATAACCTTCTGGTAATGGTTGAATATGTAAAGAAAGAAGGGGAGCATTTGATACATCTATATATACAAATGGTCTGTATTGCTTTATACTTGCATCTTTTTCTGTGATAAAATAGATTTTAAAAAATCATTACTCAAAACACAATGCTGATTTTCATTTAATAAAAAATATTTACTTTAAATACTTACCAATAAATTTATGTGCAGGTACATTGAAAATATATCGTTTACTATACTTATATCTTTCTCCTGTTACAAGATAATCTAATTGATATGGAATAGATTCATAAGATTCATTAGAAAATGGACAAGAAATATATAGATCCTTTGGAGCCGGAACAGTTTCATTTCCATAAAGTTGTATATATCTACAGGCAGACTCATTTTCATTCAATAAACTTTGATAACGTGTTATCAATCCTATTTAATAGAAAAGAAGTCAAGCAATTAAAAGAATCATCTAATCATCTAAGCTTATTACCATGAAAAGTTGCATTGGTAATGCTTAAATTGAAAGCTGTTACTCTAATTCCAAAGTCTTCATATATATATGCATGTAAATTAAATTTAGTTGTGTCTTCATCCGGTGGATAATGATTATAGCCTTCAAATGTGAATTTGGTGCAATCTAATTAAAAAAAAAATAATTCACATATCTAATTTCTATTTTTTACATTAAAATTACACTATATAAATAATCACATTTATGCATTTAATGAACACATCATACCTCCACCTCTTTGAACTTTTGTCAATAAACATTGGAAACCAGGAATAGCAACTACTTTTGTCTGTAAAAAATAAAACAGATGGCTTAGAAATAATAAATATAAAAGATTAACTTTCTGCAATGAAAATAATCTGAATAAATATTTAAAAATTCAAACAATCAATTGCGCAGAGCATTTGAACAAAAGTAAAGAATTAAATGCAAAATAAAAGAAGTACTAAAAATTACCACATTTTGACAATAATCTGGATAACAATACGAAGCTGCAACACTTCTAGTGAAGTAACAAAGAAGCATCGCAAAATTGATGAGTTTCCGCATTGTAAGGTTAGAATTACAAGTTAACCACAACTATTGAAAAATTTTATCAAAATTAACATATTTACGTTACACCCAACATCAACGATTAATCGGTCTTTGAATCTTTCGACGATAGAACATCACGTTTATTTGTAATAAATTAAATTTCTTCATGCGAACTCTTGCACAAAAAAAGTAAACGCATATCGCTACGTATTTACCTTAAGCGCACTCTATCGAAGAAAAGTGCAAACTCATTATTTCAACACAATAAATGTCAATTTATATGATAAAATCATTATAAAAATAAAATTGAAAAAAACAAAAAGACACAAAGAGAAGTTAAACAATGAATATGAGAACATGGTATATCTAAATGATTTGTTTGTTAATGATTATATTCCAGCTATATATTATCAAATATAGGAAAAAAAGAAACAAGGAGTTATTTAAAATTAAAAAGTATTTAAAATTAATTATAAATGTACTATTTTATCTTTTTAGAAAATAATAAAATATAAAATGTAAAAATGCAATGTTAAAGAGAGAAAATGTATAAAATTTAAAAATCTATAAGATATAAAAAAAAATATATTTACATATATATTATAATGTATTTATAGTATTCAAAACAAAATGCTTTTTAAGGGATTGCCAACATTTGTAATAATCGTTATCTAGTTTATTGGAAAGATTAGCAGCCCATTCAGTTACTGCTAAACTATACGCTGTTTCGAACATAAAAGCTTGAGTTCCATCCGCGATGCGTTCAGATTTAAGTTCGTTGTTGGAAGCATTTTCGAAACAATGTGTGTCCGGTCCATGTGGTGTCATAATCGAGTGCAACGATGCTCCGCCTGGATGGAAACTCTCCTCTTTAGCTTCGTATTGTCCTTTTATTAAACCCATAAATTCGCTCATACAATTTCCTATAAAATAAATAAGAAATACATATATTTTTTTCTTATAGGAATATATAAAATATAAAATCGATAAATTCTATCAATTAATATAATAAAAATTAAAACAACGAATAAGACAGAGAAACAAATATATATATATATATATTTATATA